CCGCTGGCCCGTGCTCACCTGGCCCATAATAAATAGGATGAAAGGCACTCCTGATAAATGCCCGTGTCAGGGAGAGATTTTACCTTCACTCAGAAACAATGTAATATCTCGGCTATTACCCAAAATAATTTATCAATGTGTAATAGCTTTGTGCAGACCTCAGATAGGAGGGGAGCTGCGCTATCAGAGATGGATGTAGCCTACCTTCAGCTTTTAATTTTTAATGTTCGTAGCCAGCTTTGCATTAAAGGCCAGGTGTCATATAAAGACTTAATGTAAGAGGGGAGTTCATGAATTCTAATCAAGGGAGGAGCGCTCCCTGGCTGGCTGCTGTCACCTCCCACTGTTCTTATTGATCTTTTGTTTTCTCCCCTCCTGTTCTGGCTCTTGCCTCTCCCTCCAACCCCTCCACCTTTTTCCACCCCATCCGACCCCACCCTCCCTGCCCGGCCCACCCTTCCCCACCCCGCCCAGGGCTTTCCGCTTCCCAAGTCACATCCTTTCTTCCGGCCACAGGAGGAAGGGTCTCTGGCTGGCTGGGCCAGGCCAGTGAAGATTCTATAACATCTGGACCAGATGCCCAAACTCAAGAGGGCAGGACTCTTTTTCTTTTTCATTCATTCGTTCCACTTTTGTTTATTTATTCATTTCGTTTTCGTTCATCATCCAGAAAGTATTTTTGAGTACCCATGAGGGGCCCAACTCTATGCTAGGACAACACTAGAGACAAGCAAGATAGGAGTTTATAATCTTGCTGGCAAAATCCTCACTCATGCAAACATACGTGTGTAAACGTGACTTGAGACAGTTACGTGAGATTTTGAAGACACCCTCAAATGTCACATTCTCGGTGAGGCCTTCCCTGAAGGCCTTTTAAATTTTGTGCACCTTTTAAAATCTGTGCACCTAAGTGTGCACACACACACACACATACACACTCATCCAACAGGCATTATCCCTTTCGATGCTGTATTTTCCTCCAGTGCACTAATCACCTGCTACGCTGTATAAATTGCCTGTGTATTTTGCTTATGATCTGTCCCCTTCTACAAGAATGACAGTTCCACGAGGTAGGAATCTTGGTCTGTTTTGTTACTGATATGGCTCTGGTGCCTAGCACAGTAATCAACTCATAGTAGATGCTCAATAAATACTGATTGACTGAATTAAGAGACCAAGAGTTGTGCTCAAGGGACAGGAGCAGGGGTATTGCTCTGTGGGGGGAGGGGAGGAACCATGTGGCTTCCAGCGGTAGGCCACTCCCACTCTCCTGCCCCTTGTCTGTTCTCTGACCTGCCGGGCCTTTTTAAAATGCCAGTGTAGTTACCTGGGGAACCCACTGCTCTCCCCGCTGTCCCCAGCCTGCCTCTGTCCCTAGCCTCCTGGCAGCTTCCTCTACCTGTCCCTCCAGGGGCCTGATTCAGATCAAAGGTTGCCACAAGGTGGGGACGGGGACAGGGGATGTGTCCCTGGCTGTGAGCTCCTCCAGGGTGGGGCTGGGCCTTCTGCTCTCTGGAACCAAGAGCGCAGGTAGGTGCATGCAGTAGGTGCTCAATTCCAGGCAGGCCAGTTTTTATGTGAGAAATGCATTCCTGAAAACCTTTCCTAATCTTGAACTCACAGAATTCAAGACTAATTTTCCCATAAGAATAGATATAAAGCAGGATCTGCATTATTTCAAAGTTTAGACAAGGAAGACTTCATTCATCTTGTTTGTATTGCCCAGTTTCAGATTTGCTTGAAAATGCAGCTGTGCTGTGCTGCTGTGTCGAACGTGGAGTCAAGAAGGGGCAAGTTCCCTCCATTCCTTTTTGGTCCTGCTGCCACTTCTCTCTGCCAAGGGGCCCCCTTCTACCATTTCTGCAGTTAAGAACGCACGGCTTCCTCCCTATAGTTCCCTTCTCCTCCTTTAAGACCCACTTCAAGTCAGCCTCCTCCGTGAAGCCCTTAGGCACAGTGGGTCCCCCCTTCCCCTATGCTCTCAAAGAATTTTGTTTCTGCCTTTGCCACAGGCAGTTGAATTGTTAATGAGTTGCTAATAAATCTGGCTTCCTTATTAGATCTTGAGGCCTTAAAGGCAGAGTTCAGGTCTAAGCATCTCTTTTATCCTGGCACCATGAATATGAATGAATAAATGAATGAATGAGTGCCCAGGTTACTCCCACAGATATCCCCCAAAGCTGACGTAAACTTCTAAGCTGGTTTCATCAGAATCACATTTGGAACTTAAAACAAACAAATAATGAAACCAAACAGATTCCTGGACCCCACCCCAACCCTTGCTTAGAAAGCCCCCAGGGGATTCTGATGGTCAGGCAGGTGGGAAGCACTGCCCTAACCAGGGTTTCCATTAGACTCACCCAGGGCACTTGTTAAAGGCACAGATTCCTGGGCCCCACCCTGAACCTACGGAGCTGGCCTCTCCAGGGAGGGTGAGCATTTAACAAGTGCCCCAGTGATTGGAGACGTCAGAGCAGTTTGGAAACGCCCCCTGTGCTCTGGCCGTCCTTCTCAAGGGCTCCCAGTGTGGGGTGGGGACCTCTCCTCCAGCCCTGTCCAGACAATGAGTCCCTCCAGAAGTCCCTAATAATTTTCAGGGCAGGAAGGCACATTATGATCATTCTGTTCCAGGGTTTCTCTGTTGTGGGGCTGTCCTGTGGATGGTAGGATATTCGGCAGCATCCTTGGTCTCTACCCACTAGATGCCTGCAGCAACCTCTCCCTCCTCCACTTGTGACAACCAAAAATGTCTCCAGACATTGCCAGATGTCCCTGGGGGACAAAACTGCCCCTGCTTAGGGGCTCAGAAAGGCCAATTTTCCCAAGAGAAATCACACAGCTAAGATTTCAGGAAATCATTGCAGGGGAGGCAAACTTTTACCTCTACCCTCTAGGGTTCTTTTGGCTGAACCTGAGAATTAAATTGATATAAGAGAGATCAACAGGAGAAAAGCATACACATTTATTTAATACATGTTTTACATGACATAGGAGCCTTCGTTAGACATGAAGACCCAAGGAAATGGCAAAACGTACTTGCTTTTATATTAGTTTGAACAAAGAGAGGCATCTGTGCAACAGTGACTCAGCTGTGTGGGGAGGCTAAAGGAAGATAAGAATTATTTTAACAAGGTCTGTTCGTATAGAATTCTCTTGGTCTCACCTTTTTGTCCTCGATGATAAAAATGCACTTTTCTTTTGGTATAGGGAGTACATCTTTCATACGGGAATTTCACCTCCTGCTTTATAGAAAAAGAAAGAAGGTCAGAGTGTTTTTCTTGTATTTGCTGTTTTTCAAGTGCCTTTAACACAAAATAGTCAATATAGCAGAGTGACATATTTTGGAGTGGTATGCTCTGAACTCCTTCATAATCAAAAGTCAAGATGAAGATTATATACAAATGGATTCATCACAATATTGTTTATAACAGCAAAAAACTGGAAGCAGCCAATGCGATTAAAAATACAAGAATAATTTTTCAAAACTTATAGCACTTTCACTTATAGGCAGCCGTGAAAACAGTGATATTGAGGATTAACTAATGACATAGAAAAATGATTAAAGGTTAAAGGAGAAAAATCTGTTTACATAGTGGGATAAAGAGCATGGTCTCAACATTATTTTAAAAGTGAAAATAAAAGGGCATAACTTTTGTGCTATATCACAATGGAAACATATTTAATTTTTTCCTGACAAAACATTATTGTCATAACAAATTAAAACAATACAGAGAAAGTGTAAGTTCTCCCTAGACACTCTACTTCCCAATCACAAGGCCAGGCAAAGGTGTAAGGACTCCCCAGAGTGAGTAAGAATTAATACAAGTTACACCAATATCTTTTAAAGACACATTCAACATTGATTTATGGGAGTGGGGAGAGACTGATCCTTACTGAACAAAGAATTCATACACCTCTATTTCAAAATAAATCATTTATTGAAATAAAGAAAGATTTTTTTGTTTTCAATTACAAAATATTTGAAACAGAAAATTGTAGGAAACAGTATAAACAAATTCCTGTGTACCTTATGTCAGTTTACTTGCTTTATAACTTTTGGTTTTTAAGAAATGTTGCAATGTTATAGATACAGAATAAGCCTCACTCTCTTTTGTCTTTTTCTCTCTTATACTCAATACTCAAAGAAATCTCTATCTTGAAAGTAATATAAACCATCCCCATGCATGTTTTTAATACATTTTCTACATATATGTCTCCATAAATAATTTTGCCTTGTAACTAAAAATTACATAAATAGTATCAAATTGCTTTGATAGTCTCTTGCAACTTGCTTCTTAAACTTTGTGATTTTTTTAACTTGTCCATGTTTATACATACAGATTTAATTCATTCATTTCAACTGCTCATTAATATGACATTATATCATTAAACTACAATTTATTTATCCACTCTCCTACTGAAGGACACTTAGGTTCTTTCCAATTTTTCTGCTACTTCAAACAATGCTGCATGACCTTTCTTTCCTTCTTTCTTTCTTTTTTTTTTTTTGCTGAGGAAGATTCACCCTGAGCTAACACCCATTGCCAATCTTCCTCTATTTAGCATGTGAGCTGCCGTCACAGCATGGCCACTGAACTGAACCTGGGCTGCTGAAGTGGAGTGTGCTGAACTGAACCACTAGGACACCCGGGCTGGCCCTGCATGAACTTTCTTATACAGATTTCCTTGCATATTTGTGGGAGAGTTTGCTTTCTAGGGCAGCACTTTTCAAGCTTTTCGGTCTCAGGACTCCTTTATTCTTAATAATCATTGAGGCCCCCCAAAGAGCTTTCATTTATGGGGTTATATCTATCAATAAGTATCAGAGTTACCAGTTTAGAAATCAAAACTGCGAATTGTTAAAACAATTATTTATTACTTAATTAAAAACAATAATAATAAACCCATGCACATTAATATAAATAGCATATTTTTATGGAAAATAACTGTTTTCCAAAATAAGTATAGTAAGACAAGTAACATTTTTTTTCATTTTTACAAATTTCTTTAATGTCTATTATACTATATTGTTTTGGTTGAAGTCTATGAAAAAAACTTGGCCTCACATAGATACATAGTTGGAAAAGGGGGGAGTAATTTTCAGATAATCGTGGATATTCTTTGGTAATATACCAAAACTCAACAGGTGGTAGTTTCTCAAAGATCAGTTGCAATATGAAATCTGAAACCATATCAGTGAAGTTTTTGTGTTCTTACATTAAAATGCATTGGTCTATCTTGTACTTTGAATGGATATTTTACTCGTGATTTTTGTAACATCGTGCATTGATCATTTGGAAAATATTGGTTCACCGACTTTAGATCTTCCAGATGTTAGCACACTTTATTATACAATAACAAAAATTTGTGGTCGTTAATATCACCTCCGATCTTATCAGAAAAATCTTGAAGTATTGGGAAGCTGTCACACTCATGGTGGCAGATATAAGTTTCCTAAAATTTGAAATTTCAAGTTTTATCACTGGCAACAAATATTATCAGTTTTGTTCCTTGATGCGACAGGCTTACTTAATTTTTGGAGAAAATATCTGCCAAATATCCAAACCCAAATAACCATAGTTTGTCAGTTGTTCTTTCAAGGAAAATAGTGTTTCATGAAAAAAGTGGCTGGTTCATCTTTCAACTCAGTCACACGCGTGCTTTCCTTGGAGACAATTGTACTGGGGTATTCAGCAGAAGGACTCTATGCATGATTCCCATTTCATTACACAGAGTATTAAAAAACCAGGGACTCTAGGGGTGGAGATTTTTAAAAATTAAAAATTTTACTGCTCCATCAAGAATATTCTTCAGTCGGGCCAGTCCCGTGGCTTAGCGGTTAAGTGCGTGCGCTCTGCTGCTGGCAGCCCGGGTTCGGATCCCAGGCGCCCACCGACGCACCGCTTCTCTGGCCATGCTGAGGCCGCGTCCCACATACAGCAACTAGAAGGATGTGCAGCTATGACATACAACTATCTACTGGGGCTTTGGGGGAAGAAAAATAAATAAAATTATAAAATTAAATTAAATTAAAAAAAAAAAAAGAATATTCTTCGGTCAAACTGTTCTTCTCCATGCAAAGTGCTTGGCAGTGCAGAATACAATGACAGCTGATTTGGGGCAACCACCTTGATTCGTGCCAAGGTAACAGTAGTCCTATCCACCATTGCTTTTACACCATCATTGCAAACGTCAACATAGTGGAAAAGACAAATAACATCTTAGTATTATTCTGAAAATAGTTTTGACCTTGCAGGACCCCTGCAAGCATCTCAAAAATCTCTAGGGTCTGGGATCACCCCTTGAGAACCACTGCTCTACGGTATCTAAACAGAAGCTGAATTGCTGGGTGGTCGGATGTGCACATCTCACATTTACTAGTCACTCCTAAATCACTCTTCAAAGTGGGTTTATCGACTTTACTCCCACCAGCAATGTTTAAGCATCCTCAACTCCCCACATCCTAGTCATCACTTGGTGTCATCCAACTTAAATTTTGGCAATCCAACGGGTGTAGAATAGCATCTCATCGCTGTCTTAATCACAGCATAGCATTTCAAACATATTTGGGATGGTCCTTCAAATTAGTATTTTAATCATTCATAGTTAGAGGGTGTTTATTGCACTCACTCATAATTGAGATAATTTACAAGGATAGAGATATAAAATATAAATCTCTTTCAAGATGTGTTTAAGAGGTTATTTTCTAGCTTTCATGTTGGCAAAATATTTCCCACTTCTCTTCAATTTCCTTTTGCAATTTTCCAAATGAGAGAGCTTCTGGGGAATGCTATTCTAGGGTTTTTAATCATTTATTCCCTATAAACATTGCCAGCCCATATGTGATTTGGTTTCAGAATTGCAGTTGATTACATTGCAGATTTGAGCCTACTGGTCCCAGGGCTGGCGATGCTGCCTACAGTAGCTCCATGCACACTGCATGGACACATTGTCGAAATGCTCAACACAGATTTGTAGATGCTGGTAAAACCGGCTGTGATGGATTTAGTGAGAAACAGTATATCCACCTCCAAGGTGGCCATTTCAGGAGACTTTCCAGATTAAGTTTGACTGTGTGTGATTTTGCTGTGCACGTTGACTTCACAAGCTAACCCCCATGAAAGAAGCAAGGCCTTTCTAAGTAGTTGCATGTGGGAGTCTGAACTAATAGGCATTGGGTTTCTCATTTATTTTAGGAACACTTAGCTCCCTATATTGGTTTGGGTTCTCAGCCTCTGTTCATGTAGACTAGGGGTTGGCAAACTTTTTCTATAAAAATCCAAACAGTAAATATTTTAGGTTTCATGAACCACCTAGTCTCTGTTGCAACTGCTTCACTCTGCAGAGTAGGGCGAAATAGGTAAACCAACACTGTGGTTGTGTTCCAATAAAACTTTATTTACAAAAACAAGAGAGGGCTGTAGTTTGCTGACCCCTGGTCTAGATTGCTTCTTTTTCTCTGGAGAAAGCCTTTGCTAATCCTTTAGTGTCTATTCTTTTAGTATAATGGTCTGTAGTTTACATTTCATATAACTGTGTGTGTGTTGTTGAATCTTTAATGACAAAAGCAAATACGAGAAGTTGAAAAGGAAAATACCGTGGATAACAAATAAGATTATTATTACTATAAATTATAAAGCCACAAATATTCTGAGAGAATGTAATAAAATACATGCCAACTGGACCACCATGACAATGACATAGGCATGGCGGCTGTCATTTTGAGGTCCTCCACTGCTCTCCAGACAAGTGAAGTCAAATTGGGCCTGGAAGCCTCCTTGGAGAAAAAGCTGATTCCAGATCTAGGACAAGGAAAGTACAAGAGGAGCCCAAAATATCTGTTTGTACCAAACAGTAAAGTGTACTCAAAGAATAATGAGGACATAGGAACCAACTTGAAAGGATGCCTCTGGCCAAATCTGGGACAACTTCAGCATCAAAATAAATCATAATAGGGGCCAGCTGCGTGGTGTAGTGATTAAGTGCGCACGCTCTGCTGCTGGCGGCCTGGGTTCGGATCCCAGGCGCACCCCGAGGCACCGCTTGTCAGGCCATGATGTGGCAGCGTCCCATATAAAGTGGAGGAAGATAGGCACAGATGTTAGCCCAGGGCCAGTCTTCCTCAGCAAAAAGAGGATTGGCATGGATGTTAGCTCAGGGCTGATTTTCCTCACAAAAAATAAGTAAATAAATAAATAAATCATAATAGTAATGAATTATAACTCAATGAATGAAATAAGAACCCCCCAATCCACAGTGATCTAAATAAAGAGATAAGTAAATGAGGGAGAAGGGATAATTCTTCCTTATAGTAGAATGCCAAGTAATAAATACAGAAGGCAGGATGGTGTTAGAAAATCATCAGTGGATGCTAAAACTGGTGGGTGAAAGTTTAATGATGAAGAGGATATTTTCATAGCCTCAAAGTATCCTCCCACAAATTACTTATTCATTACAGAGGGAATCATAGTAACTTTACAACAGAGAAACCTAGCAGACATCACGTTACTAAATGATTAAAGTTGATATCACTAATTTGGGGCAAATCAACATCAAGTGCCTCTTGATACAATGCACTGAGAAGAACACAACATCACTTCTGTGAAATTTCTGTCCAAATACATCGACTGAATCTAATCATGAAAAAACATCAGACAAGCCAAATTGAGGGACGTACTACAAAATAACTGGCCCACTCTCTTAAAAAATAAAGCAAAGATCAAGAAATGCAAGGAATGGCTAAAGGAGTGTCCCAGATCAAAGGAGATGAAAAGAAACATGATATTGAATTGAATGCGCTATGTAATCCTGGTTGCATCCTTGACCGAGGAGGAAAAATAGCTGTGAAGGATACTATAGGGACCATTGAATTGAATATGAACCAAAATTTGAATATGAACTGTGGATTAGAGAGTGGTATCATATCAATGTTAAATGTTTTTATTTTCATAATTATACTAAGCTTATGTAAGAGAATGTCTTTATTTTTAGGAAAAAACACTAAAGTATTTGGGATTTAAAAAATGGTCCTAATAATACAAAGAAATACCTCATAAGCCAAAGTTGGGCTTTTAAATCAAACTCCTTATAGGTTGAACTCTAAAATGATGTTATCTGGAGATGTGGGGGCATTTTTCAGCTAATAACGTGCCTTGGATTCATAGACCCCATAGATTTTACTGTCTATTTATTACAATTGTAATGTATTTTATAATCATAAAAATTCTGTTAATTTTTCAAAAGTTTGGGAGTATGTTCCAGGTGGAAAAAACAGAATGCGCACTCTCATAGAAGTGAGGTATGCAAGTGGTTTGCAGTTTAAAATATGTCAAAGTTGTAGCCAATAAGTAGTGGAAAAAGAAGGCCGAAAGGGTAGTCATGGTCAGATTGCAAGGGACCTTAAATGCCATAGCAAGGAGTACTCATTTTGTTCAAGGGAAAAAGGGAAGCCATTGAGAGCTGCTGAGCAGGAAAGTGACATAGAGCTGAACTTCGGGAAGATGACTGGCTGCATGTTTAAGATGGATTAGAAGGAGCAGAACCCGGAGTTGGAGAGATTTTTGCAAAAGTGGGTTGGGAGGTAATGAGTGGTCCACTCATAGGTCAACACACATTTTTGTAAATCTGGAACTGGGGAAATAGGTAGAGATGGACATAGATAGAGTCATCTGCCTTGAGGAGCTCTTTGAGGCTATGGGAGCAAGTGGACTTGTGCTATGGACTTTATGTCTTAGTCCCCCCAAACACATATGTCGAAGCCCTAATCCCCAGTGCAATGGTATTTGGAGGTGGGCCTTTGGGAGGTAATTAGGTTTAGATGAGGTCATGAGGGTAGGGCCTCCATGATGGGATTAGCGCCCTTATTAAGAAGAGGAAGAGACCAGAGCTCTCTCCATCATGTGAGGACACAGCAAGAAAGTGGCCATCTGCAAACCAGGAAGAGGGCTCTCACCAGAGACTGAATCTGCTGGCGCCTTCGTCTCGGATTTCCGCCTCCAGAACGGTGAGAAATAAATGTCTGTTGTTTAAGCCCCCTAGTCGATGGTGTTTTGTTACAGCAGCCCCAGCAGACTAAGACTACTTGTTAAGGGGAAGAGGTAGAAAGGGACGGGAAACAAATGAAGGAAGAACTTTGGGAAGTACCTGAATTTAGGGGGCAGGAGGAGAAAGGGGAGCCAGGGAAGCAGACGTGAGTGACTAGGGAAGGAGGAGGAGAGCCCGGAGGGCAACGTCACGGGGACCTATGGGGAGAAGCATCACAAAGGATGGCTAGCGGTGGCCAATAGGAGTGAGTGCTGCTGAGAAACTGGGTACAGCTTTTGGATGTAGTGGTTGTGTTCTCACTGATGCCTTAGAACTGGTTCAACAGAGCAGGAGACGGGAAGCCAGATTGGAAGCAGGAAATGGAGGTGCCAGGTGAAAGCTGCTCTTTGAAGAAGTTAGGCGGCGCAATGAAAGACAGAGGTGACAAGTAAAACCTGAAGATAATGCAGGTGGGGGATGTTTTTGCTGTCTTTTGTGCCTGGCCCAGACCCCCTCCTTGCTGCTCTGTGAGACTCTCAGAGGACAGACACACCTCCTCCAGGTCGGTGATGCCTCCTGGGGGGCAGAGCCCTCCTGCTGTCTGGCCTCTAGAGCAGCTGCCCTCTTCCCAAGGGAATGATGGAGTGGTGTCATGGGCATGACCAGTGTCTCCCTGTACTTCGTCACCAATATGGAATACTTTAAATTACCAGAGCTCTGGATCCTGGACAGAGATGATGCCTCTACATGAAGACATTAATGGGAGAAGAAAGCAACAGGCATCTCCTCTGAAAGCAGAAAAACAGTGACAAACTCACACCACACATATGTGGTGACAAGAAACAAATTCAGTTTTCCCATCTCCTCACCCATGACTCCATTGGTCAAGAATGTCTTTTCATTGGTCTAGAATTCTACGTCCCTTTAAAAACTTCACTCCATAATTGTGATAATAGTGATAACAATGATAGCTAAATATTTACTGGTGCTGTGTGCCTGGGTAGTATATTACAAGGCCTGCCTGGCTCTGTCTGCAGATCCCCAGAACTACAGAGGTGGACATAAAAGATCTCTGTGACGCATGAAGCAGCACAATGTAAAGGTGGAGAGCATGGGTTTTGGAGTCTCACAGACCTGGCTTCCAGTTGCAGCTCTGCCATTTATTAGCCATGTGACTGTGGGCACCATGCATGCATAATGTCTATAAGCCTCAGTTTCTCCCTCTGTGAAATGAGAATGATAACAATAGAACCAACTTTACAGGGTTGTTGAAGATGAGATAATGTGCCAAAAAAATATTAGCAATGTGCCCAGCCCCTTGTAAATGTTTTTTAGTTGTTAGCAATTATTTTACATAATAAGAGATTATAATTATTCCCAAGGCCCAATGGTTGAGGGGAGCCCTAAGGAAGATTTTTGAATGTAAGGCACTGCCTTACATTCTTTCTTCCCTTTCAAAGCCAGAAGGGGTAGACAGAGGAAACAGAAACTCCCAGCATCTTACTTTCTTGCCTGGGCCAGCCTGGGCCCCAGCCCTGCCATGCAAGCCTCCCCTACAGAGATGGGTGTGCTGGGTGTTCAGGGCTCAGAGCAGAGTTCTAGGACTACATCCCAATCTTGCTTCTAGCTCTCCCTGACTTGAGGTCCCCAGAAACCAGAGCCCCTACTTGAATACTTGAATGCAACATTTCTAAGGGTCTTTACCAACATCACCCCAGCTTCTATTTATGACACTGTATCAGTCAGGGTTCAACCAGAGAAGCGGGGAGAGAGAGAGGAGGTGAGAGGGGAGAGGCAGAGAGAGAACGAGATGGGGGCGGGGGGACATCAGAAAGGGCAGGTAGGAACTCTTGGGCATGGGCTAAAGCTGCTGTCCACAGGCAGAATCTCTTCTTCTTTAGAGAAGCCTCGGCTCTCATTTTATGACCTTTTGACTGATTGAATCCGGCCGACCCAGATTATCAAGGCTAATCTCCCTTAAAGTCAACTGATAGCTTTAATCACACCTACAAAGTATCTTTGCAGAAACACCTAGATTAATGTTTGATTAAATAACTGGGGACTATAGCCTGGCCAAGTTGACACATCAAAAAACCATCACAAACACCAAACCCCGGGCCACCCATGGAGCCTGAAGTTATTTGCTTCAGACCAC